ACACACACACACAAACAGGGTCTGAGAAGGGTCTCAGTGACTTTCTAAAGACAGCCAAGGCAAACTAAGAGCTTCAGAGTCCTGTCTCTTATGCACCACTCACAGTTGGAATCCAGGAGAGAACTGGGGTTTGGAGAACACTTTAAAAATGCAGAAGGGGAGCCATACCTGCTTCTGGATGGCCTACGCTTCAGGCTCGGAATTCCTACTTCAGATTGCTACTTTTGTTACTTCTGCCATTTTTGCTGCTTAGGGGACTTTTGGCTGCCTCCCACACCTGCTGTTCGCTTTTGCCTTACAGCACTTTATCAAACCAATTAAAAATTTTTCAGTACTTGTTCCACCTTTATGAACCAGATAACAAGAACCCCTAGAATAGACAACATGGGTATTTCTCTTGTCAGTTTGGAGTCCCTGTGAAGCCCCTTGGTTTTTCATGGTATCAAAAGAGTATTACTATGCTTACTGTAGGAATTAAAGGGATGATAAACAATTATGAGTAACTCTCTACAAAGCACACAACTTAGACAAACTCCCATGAAGACACACATAGCCAAAAACTGACACAATTATAAAAAATTTAGAGAAGTAAATTATGCATATTTAGTTATATACATAGGTAACTGTGTGTATGTATGTGTATATATATATAGATATATATCTATATCTATATATATATCTATATCTATATCTATATATAGATATATATATAGCCCTTTTCACACAAAAAAGGGCCAAAATGAGACATCATTTGTGAATTATACTGAATAATTTAAAAATAATACCAAACCTTCATTAATTCTCAGAAAATAGAAAAATGGGAAAAAACTCAATTCATTTTATGGGGTGGAGGGAAAGCCTGTTAGAATCTGAAGTGCATTTGTTTATCTGGACTAGGCTGGATCACTCAATGTAATAAATGCATAACACTAGCACATAATAACAGGTGTCTTACAAGTACACTTGAATAAAATACATCTCTCTAAGCTCACTCTTTGGCATCACCCCTGATAGATTAATAAAAACAAGGTTTTCCCCTTATTTATGCATTCCCTTATTCCTATAAATGCAGGGAAGTAAACTGCAGGGTTGAAGAACCTTAGTTTCCCCAGAAAGAGCTCGTCAATACAGAAGGAGAGGGAAATCTGCCTTCCATGTTCTCCTGTCCGACACTGGGGTTTCTTTTGAGGTCTTACCTGCAGCTTCTCTGTGACTGACACTTGCAACCGATGCTCCATATCTGAGATGAGAACTTCTATCAACTGGCTCTGCTGAATGAGATTATCCTCATCCTCTGCCAGTTTACTGAGAATGTCTTCTTCCTCATGAGTCAGTTTTTGCAGTGCCTTCTGCTCTGCAATGTCCAGGAGATCTCTCAGTTCAGCAAACTCTGCCTTAACACCTTGTTTCTCACTTTGTATGTCACTCTTGAGAATGAGAAAAAGAGAGAGGTGGTACTCAACCCATCAGGCAGAGACTGTTACAGGACACCAAATCTTTTACAGGACAGGCAGAGAGGGGCACCACTGAAGCCCCAAACCTGCCTGCTCTAAGTGGGTTCTGCCATCGGCCGCGTCAAGACAAAACATATAAAACTTTAATGAAAAGGGACTTTAATACGGTAAATATACAATACGGAACACAAAGAATATAACTTCTAAATCAAACACCTGAAGTT